TTCCTCTCCCTTTTCCCGATAATCGATTCTTTCCCTTTCTCCCTTCCTCTCCGAATCGTCAATCATGATTAACTTACCTCCATTCCTTAAGTTCTTCCGGCGAAATTGTTGGAGTCTCTTCCTATATATACATTTCATTCCATCGATCACGACAATCATCCCTAAAAAGTTCATGCTTCACGTTTTCTGGCTGAAACGGCATCATGAGCTTCCTCTCCGGTGACTCGTTCCTCATGACCCCAGCTCTCTTTCGTCGCCAGCAGAGGATCGTCTCCTTTACCGGGGCGCTCTACCCTCATCTGGTTGGTGAGAATCGTCACCGCCATCAACAGATTTTTGCCGTGAAGCCAATTCTGCCAATCTGTGCTCTGGATCCTTATGCTTTTGCCTTCGTCGACACTATCGATCATATCTCCCTCATCGACAGCCTAGGCTGGCTTCCTATGGGTGATTCACCTCCTCGCAGCTACTGCCTAGCTGTCGTTCGTGCCTTCTATTCCAATATACGGACAGATGGGATCGCAACGGGCAAATTCTCCACCCTGGTATATGGTCACTTGCTTACTCTTTCGGTTGATGACCTTGCTGCATTTCTTGTTCTGCTACTAGAGGCAAGCAACTCATTAGTCCTTTGGAGTTCTGGTCATACAATTTTGACTTGCGTTGGGAGGCCACAAATCTCTCCTTTGACTCGCTAGATGATTCACTCAAGCTTCTCCACTACTACATCACCTGAGTGTACTTTCCGCAGGCTAACCGCTTGGATGTCGTTTTGCCTCTTGATTGCTGGGTCATGTCTCACGCCATCTCTGATATGCCGTTGAGCTATCCTCACCTGCTGTTTGGGGCAATCGTGGATGCCGCTGCCAATGACTCTCCCAGTGTTGGTCTTCCCTTTGCTGCGCTGATTACGCTGCTGCAGTGTCTCGGTGTCCCTCTGGCTGACTTTGCCACTATTTCTGACAATGGTGTTCATCCCTCCATTGATGAAGTGCTGGCTGTGGTGGGACTTCCTCTCATTGTTTATTTATCATCAGGGGGAGATGATCATGGTCATGTGGCCACGGACACAGCTATTAGAGAAAGAGGCGCAGAGGCCAAAGACGAGGCGTCCGCGGATGGTGGTGCATCTGCTTCGGCTTCTGTCCGTCCCTTCAAACTCAAGCGACAGGCTAAAGGGCCTCGCCCTTCTAGCAGAGTTTTCAAGCATCTCAATAATCAAAAACCTTCTCAAGGAGTGGTTCTCTATGAGAATCATGATCTTGAGCAAAACAATTAAAATCCTTAATTTAGGGGAAGCTTGGGTTTAGGGGGATCAAGTTTCGAGTTGTTAGTTGTTGTTGTTGCTGTTTTAAATGGCTTATTTGAATTGTTGCTTTTAAGGTCTAGATTGGGTCAGGGGAGTATTAAATCATGTCTCTTATTTGCGCTGTTGAGTGTTTTGATTGAATAATGCCCTGAGCTACACTCAGGATGAATGAAGTAATTTGTTTTCTTGATAATCTGTGGCGTAGGATGAATGAGAGATATAATGACTGTCATTCTTTAATCTTGAGTTTTATGATGAATGGAGTATATGCAGTAACAGGATGTTAAATCAAGCTTAGGGGGAGAATGTTGAGTCAACAAGCTTGATTCAGCAAATTTAATATCATAGGATATTTTGTTTTGAATATATGTTATTATGTTGAACTAACAATCTATGCAGAAATATCACAATCAATGATGACGAAAAAGGAAAAAATTCAAAGTGATTGCTTGCCCTCAAAGGAGTTACCATATCAAGCAAAAAGTGTATCAAATCAAGGAGATACTTGCCACATAAAGGACTACAAATGAAAGGAAATGAAGGCTCACATCAACTTTAAATAGTAGAGTCATTTGTAGGCCAAGATACCTTTTGCAAAGATCTCTTCTCCCTTGTAATAGCGAAATTGTGTGATCATATTTCGTGGTGTGAATAGCTTGATATCTCAGGGGTTGAGATATTCAAGCTAGGTCGGATTTTAGGGTAGGAAGGGTATTTGTTATTAGAATCTAAGAATTACAAAGAGGATTTGAATGATAATGAATGGTTGTGTGCTATGCAAGAAGAACTTATATAATTTGCAAGATTGCATGTCCGAGAACTAGTACCTAGACCAATTGATAGACTGATTATAGGAACTAGGTGGGTTTTTAGAAACAAAATAGACGAGGATGGACACATAACTAAAATAAAGCTAGACTTGTAGCACAAGGTTACTCACAGGAAGAAGGAATTGACTTTGATGAAACCTTTGCACCTGTTGCTCGAATTGAATCTATTAGACTCCTTTGTGCTAATGCATGCTATATGAAAATACCCTTGTTTCAAATGGATGTGAAAAGTGTGTTCTTAAATGGAGAAATTAAGGAAGAAGTTTATGTTAGCCCGCCCCCTGGATTTGTTGATCCTGAATTCCCAAATCATGTGTACAAACTGTCAAAAGCATTTTATGGTTTAAAGCAAGCTCATAGAGCATGGTTTGAAAATTTGTCTTCCTTCTTGATAAGTGAGGGTTTTTCTCAAGGGAATGTAGATAAAACACTGTTTATCAAAAAGGAAAACTCTGACACTCTAATGGTACAAGTGTATGTTGATGACATTGTGTTTGGATCAACTAGTCCCTCTATGTGCACCAAGTTTTCTGAGTCTATGAAGGCAAAATTTGAGATGAGCATGATGGGTGAACTTTCTCACTCTCTTGGATTATAGATCAAGCAAACTGAATTAGGTATGTTCATTAGTCAAACTGCTTACATTAAATCTATGCTTAAGAAGTTTAATTTGGAGTCTGTGAATACTTCCTTAACCCCTATGGCAACAAATCTCAAACTTGACAAGGATGAAACCAGTATATCCTGTTGTGAGAAAAAATACAGAGGAATGATTGGTTCACTTCTGTATTTAACAGCTAGTCGACCAGATATTCAGTATAGTGTAGGCTTATGTGCAAGGTTCCAATCTAATCCTAAAGAAAGCCATCTCAAAGCTGTAAAACGAATTTTTAGGTATCTCAAGGGAACTACTGAAGTAGGACTGTGGTATCCAATAACAGACTCTTTTGAGTTAGTAGGATACAGTGATTCAGACTTTGGGGGGAGTCTTATCGATAGGAAAAGTATAACAGGGACTATACAATTTTTAGGACCGGCTCTTGTATCCTGGTTTAGCAAAAAACAAGGAGCAGTTGTTCTATCTACTGCCGAAGCTGAGTACATGGCAGCTAGAAGCTGTTGTGCCCAACTTATGTGGATAAAAGCTCAACTGGCATATTATGGTTTTAAAGTGCAAAATATCCTTGTATGTTGTGATAACACAAGTGCGATTTGTATGGCAAAAAATCCAGTACAACATTCAAAAACAAAACACATAGAGATAAAATACCACTTTATAAGGGATCTAGTTCAAGCAAGACATATACATTTACACATTGTGTCTACTGTTTACTCATCATTACTATGCCTCGTGCATCCTTTCATCTTGCCCCCTTCTGCTATATAAACCCTGCCTCATTCTCGTCTTCTCCTCACTTCTCACAAACATCAAAATACCAGCAAACAAACTCCTCCATCATGAGCGATCACCTTCCCCGACCTTTTCGTTTTGATAATCTGGTTCGTACCTTCCCTGGGTATATGTTTCATGAGCCTGTAGTCATAAATAGCCATCGCCATCTCCAACACTTTAACAATAGAAGGCTCCATCACATCACTCAACTCGACCCAGACGAGTTCAACCTCTATAAATATGACATCATTTCCCTTATTGAAGGATAAGGCTGGGATTTCCTCCTTCGTCAACCCCTTCATCCTGCCTGTCTTGGTGCGGTCAAATACTTCTAATATAACCTTCGTTGTCAAGGGGTGAGTACTCGAAGCTTCACCACTGTCGTTTACGGTCATCTTCAGACCGTAACTGTTGAAGCCCTAAACGGGATACTTGGAATTCCATCTCAAGGACTTAGAAATTTCTCACCCATCCGAGTTTTGGAAGCAAGAGTTCGAGATCACCACTGAATATGCAAACTTTTCAACATAACCAACTGGAGGATCTGATGTGCCTATTCCAACAAGCTGGTTGCCCCCTCGCTTGAGGATCTTTAATCACTTCCTCACTCATGTTTTCTTTCCTCGATCGTTTATCCTTAATCGAGTTCTCCCATGGATCTTTGGATAATATCCAGTGCCACTGCTAGGCGCAAGCTTGACTACTCCTGCCTCCTGTTTTCACACATGCTATTTTTCTAACAAGATCCTTAGTGGCAAATATTTTTCGTAGACCTTTTAGTCTGTACATGCTATAAATATATTCTCCAGAGCCCATTTCAAAAGATTCATATTCATTCAGAAGCACATCTATTCTACTTTCCTTTACCTCTGACGTACCTTCGGGAGTAGTCTGAAGAGACTCCCAGATCTCCTTGGCAGTCTCGCACTGAGCTACTTGACTTCTTTCTTCTGGACAGAGGACAGAAAATAGAATGTGCATCGCCCTTGAATCCAGTTGAGATGAGAGTTTTTTCTCATCTTCCCATTTTTCTTCATCTTCATCATCAATGGGAATAGGCCCTTTACGGACTATTGCCCAGAGATCGCCATCGACGCTGCGAAGGTAGATCCTCATCCTCTTTTTCCAGACAGTGTAATCCGTCCCATCGAACCATGGCGGCTTTTTACTTGCAGAATACGAGGCTAATGCAGATGAACTGATTACTTCCCAAGCTCAAGTCACCCAGTTTTACAAACACTATGAGAGCTAGTGAAGCAATCAATGGACCCAATGCAGAAGAAAAACTCTCTACTGTTTCACTCACTGCAAACTGCCAAATTCTACAATGAGAGCTAATACCTAATTTATAGATAGTCAAGGAAGATTGCCGTTCGAGGGAGATGACCGTTTTGCTAGGATCTCATGATGACTCCTTTCTAGAAGTTTTTGTAGAGGCCGTGCCTACTCTATAGAGATCTCGAGCAAGATGTCGAGAGAGAATAGAGAAGCTGGTGCAGAAGCTTTTCTCGATGAAGATGAAAAGCTCGATTGCTTTGTTGGCTTCTTGAAGACTTGGAAGAACGAAACGTCATCGTATCATGTTTTGAGAAGATGTTGTACCGTTTCATCCAACAATGATGACAACGGTAAACGGCTACTGAGCTGGACAGTTCCAGGATGCCTATCAAGGACGTGGGACGAAATTTTACTGTCTCATCTCCTCTGTGATAGAAACCCGATGATCCTGATTCTACCTGATGTTGATATAATGAGAATTAAAATGGGAAATGGGGGCTAGGATGGCGTCTGTGGGTGGAGAAGTAATTAGAAGGGGTAAGAGAGGTGATTTGGGCGAGGTGAAAAAAAACCAGGAGGAAGGGGGAAGAGGCAGCAGTGGCTGCTGAGGGAAGAGGGGAAGCCTTGGGTCGGCCGAGAGGAGGAAGGGAGGGAGAGGAGAATTGCTACTAGGTTTAGGGTTTAATTATTCCATAATCTCATTCAACTTAGAAAATAGTTTAAATAACAATTCCTAATTACCGATAACTACCCAAACTTATTAAACCCTCAATCTACTTCCCAAATAGCCAATAAATCCATAAACATTCATAAACTATCAAATGAGTGCAATTGCTAATTAAATAGAAATGCGGGTTTCTATCATCCCCGCCTTCTTCGAATCAACCTTGTCCTCAAGGTTGTTAGTCCTCCACCTGCCCTTCGCCTCTGTCGTTCGCTGCATCTTCCTCGGCCTCATCCTCCCATCTTCCCACCAGCATCATCAACTCCGGCTTCGCACACTTGTGCCCGATGGTGAACCGCTCGTCGCAGTTGAAGCCACTGCTCCTGGTGTCGCGCCCGCCCCGCCGCTAACAGTGATAGCGGTGCTGCCACCCCCGCTACTCCCCGCACCGGTATGGCCTCCTCCTCCAGTCTTGGGGTAATGCCCTATGACGTTCCTCCAACTTGCCAGCTCCTCTTCTTTATGACCTGCAAGACGAAAAACAGCACGCAAGGTATCGAGCTCGAAAATCTTGACTGCAGCAGCAATCTCTGGTTTAAGTCCTGCCATGCACAAGCCCACCAGGGTCTCCTCTGGAACTCCCTTACACTAGTTTCCCAGCTTAAGGAACTCTGCCCGATAATCAACTACCGAGCCGATCTGCCTGAGCTTGGCTAACTGCTCTGCCGCCCATCCTTCAGATTTGCCGAACTGGTAGCGAAGCTCCTCCTGGAATAGCGGCCAAGTAATCAGCGTCTGCGTGGCAGCATAGGATCTCTCTAACCATTCCCACCAATGCAGCGCGTCTCCCTCCAGATAAAAGGACGCTAGTTGCGCCTTCCTCTCCTCCCGGGTTGGGTGATTTTTAAACCACCTGTCAGCTGCATACAACCACAAACCGGCATCCTCCTGGCCATTGAATTTTGGGAACTCAATGGTAGGGTGCTTGGCCCTAAACACCACTCCATACTCATCATCATAACGATCATAGCCACCATACCTGCCCGCACTAGGGTAGCCCCTGTAATAACCCGGGGGTGCGCGCGCGTCGTCCCCTGTGCTCCAGCCCGGTCCATTCCCACCTGGGCAGTCTTCGTACCCACCCAGCTGACCCCCTGGGTCTCCTGCTGCTGCCAACGGGGGCGCGTATGCACTCGAACCCTCCAGCTGTGCACGCCATTCAGCAACTGGTCGGCCATCCGGAGTCAACCCGAACCGGTAGGGTTCGCTCGCAAATCGGCCCACCCCGGTTCGGCCATTGGTAGTCCACCCAGCCCTAGTTCGGCCACTGTCGGTCCACCCAACTCCGGTTCGACCGGCCTCGATCCACCAAGGCCCGGTCCGACCGCCATCAGTCCAACCCAGTCCGGTCCGGCTCTCGGGGCCCGGCCGGTTCACCATGGCCCGCTCTGTTCCACCTGCTCGATCGGGCCCGTCTCCGGTCCGCTGTCCCCGACCCGTCTCACCCTCCATTGGGCTCGGGCCCATGGGCTTGAAACAGGGATTTTGGACCACATTGTCGTAGCCCGACATCTTTGCCTTACCGCGTAGTGCCGCGATCTCATCCGCCGTCGGGGTCGGTAGCAGCCCGGGTCCGCCCCGAGGCCCATCAGCCACTGGGCCCACCCGATCAGTGCCCGCCTGCCCTAGGGTTGCCGCCGTCGCCTCTGCTCCGGGCCCAGCCACCTCGTCGACAGCAGCGGGGATAGTCGCCGCCGAGCTCGCCGTTGAAGCTGCCGTCGGCTTCCCTCCTCCGACGCCCGCGAGCTGGACAGTCGCCGCTGCGTTGCTCGCCTTGGCCGCCGCCTCCTCGCATCGGTCACCTCCGCCGAGGCCCAACGCCGCCACCAACCGCCTCTGCTCCTCTTGCCTGCCGGTGAGGATCTGCATGATCATGTCACGATCACGTTTGGCCTCATCAACCTCGGCCCTCACCTCCTCCATGTTGGCGTCGGTTCTCAGTTGCATTGCCATGATGATGCGCATCGAGGCTTGGAGATCGTCGCTCTCAGTCTCGTCCACCACCACTCCTTCACGCCGATTGTCTTGCCGGCGACGAGGGAACCCTGGTCTGGGCTGCCTTGGATCCAGCATCAGACTTCTCCGCAGGCGATTTAGTGATCGCCATATCTCCGCTGTCCGTCCCGGTGTAGAGTTGCGATAAACTCGAGAGTCAGAACCTGAGCTCTGATACCAGATGATAGAAACCCGATGATCCGGATTCTACCTGATGATGATATAATGAGAATTGAAATGGGAAATGGGGCTAGGATGGCGTCTGTGGGTGGAGAAGTAATTAGAAGGGGGAAGAGAGGTGATTTGGGCGAGGTGAAAAAGAAGCAGGAGGAAGGGGGAAGAGGCAGCAGTGGCTGCCGAGGGAAGAGGGGAAGCCTTCGGTCGGCCGAGAGGAGGAAGGAGGGAGAGGAGAATTGCTACTAGGTTTAGGGTTTAATTATTCCATAATCTCATTCAACTTAGAAAATAGTTTAAATAACAATTCCTAATTACCAATAACTACCCAAACTTATTAAACCCTCAATCTACTTCCCAAATAGCCAATAAATCCATAAACATTCATAAACTATCAAATGAGTGCAATTGCTAATTAAATAGAAATACGGGTTTCTATCACTCTGGCTATGGGAGCTGACCATATCGTGTCAAATATGGCCATGGACCCTGGTGTGGTCTACAATGCGGCTCCACGGGACTACGTGTCTCTGTTGTGTTCGATGAACTTTACGAGGAATCAGATTATGACCATCATGAGATCGAATGACGACGATTGTGCAAACTACTCGTCGCTCGATCTGAACTACCCATCGTTTGTGGCGTTCTATGATAGGAATATAACTACTAGAGTGATGTTGACGCACTGTTTTCGGAGAGTGGTGATGAATGTAGGTGGCGGAAGGGGTACATATGAAGTGAAAGTGACTGGACCGATCGCTTGAAAGTTATGGTGTGCCCGCAGAGTTTGGTGTTTGGGAAGAAGTACGAGTGGCGAGATTACTTCGTGGAGATAACGTACGCGAGTAATAGTGAAGGGATGGTTTCGTACGGTTCGATTGTTTGGATCGAGGAAAATGGAAAGCATATTTTGAGGAGTCCGATTGTTGTTGCGCCAACTTCTGCTGGCCAGTAAGCTTGGTTTGATTGGACGCGTGTGTTTTGTTGTGCACTTGTGTGCAAATGCATGAAATGTGTTCTTTTTTCTTTCCTAGAATAATTTTGGAGGTTTCAATAGTGTCTTTTGGTTAAGATATCTTAATAAGTTTTATCTATACGTTTAACTAATTGATATTAAGTCAATCTTCTATAATGTGTAACCTAATAACAAAATTAAGTTATTCAAATGTATATATTAAATTATTGTCCCACACGTAACATAATTGTGGTGTGGCACTGCGACTTGTGTTGGGGCGATATGTGCTCGACTTCAGACTTGGGCTGCTCACCGTCTCCATCCAATATTTACAACTCTTATATAATATTCCTTTGACAATACACAAAGAATGTTGATGTGACTTGAATCAGACTATCAGCCGCTACGACTGGAAGTTATTGGGTCTCGCTGTATGGGCTCAATGTTATTTGGGTTCGTGTTCTGGACCTGGTTCTAACCGCTTTTCCTTTATCATATTGGATTAGGGTTAGAACTTGGAGAAGTACTATAAATACTTCTCATCCTCCTCTGTAATATGTATCTCCTCGTAAATCGTGTGTCGTGTGTATGTTTGTGCTTTTGTTTTCTTGCACTATCAAAATTTCTCGATTCGAAGAAAACAGTCGTGACAAGTGGCATCAGAGCGCCGGTTGGAAATCAGGCTAGTGTTTCAATTTTGAAGAATGACGCTGGTATACATGAAGATCGAGAAGTTCACGAGGAAGAACAGTTTTCGTATATGGCAGATCAAGATGCAGGCTTTATTGAAACAGCAAGTACTGTGGGTGTCGTTGTCTGCGAAACAAAAGAAGGCATCGTTCGATGACGATGAGTGAAATACCCTGGCGGAGAAGACCCACTCGACCATCATGATATCACTGTCTGATAACGTCATAATTGAAGTCGCTACTAAGATGACTGCCGCAGGCTTGTGGTTGAGGCTAGAGAGTCTGTATATGAAGAAGTCTCTAACCAACAAGCTACATCTCAAACAACGATTGTTCAGTTTGAGGATGCAAGAAAATACGTCTTTGAGGAAGCATCTGAAACAACTTAATTCTATTTTGTTAGACTTACGCAATATAGATGTGAAGGTTGATGATGAAGATGATGCCCTAATCATGCTTATGTCTTTGTCGAGTTCATATGAGGATTTTTTGGATTATTTCACTGCTAGTAAAGTTAGCTTGTCGTTAGAGGATGTCAGATCTGCTCTTCACACGAGAGAGATTAGGCATAAGGTGTCTGGATGCTGGCTATCATAGGTGGAAAGGGAAAGAAGAAATCTGGTAAAGGGAATTCGAACAAAAACTCGAAGTCTAAGGGTCCCGATCCACAGCCAATTGATGCCTATCACATCAGTAAGGAATTGGGGCATTGGAAGTACAACTGTCCTAGAAAGAGAGAGGGCAACAGAAGACTCAAGGTGTTGTTGTCGTGGCAGAAATTGACAACGTGGTTATGGCGAATGGAGTTATTTGCAAGATGGTTGGAATCGGGTCTATCAAGATTTGAACGCATGATGGTTCATTCTACACCTTAAACAAAGTTTGGCATGTTACACAAATGACGAAGAACCTGATCTCTTTAAGTCTTATCGACAGCAAGGGTCTCGGTTTCAAAGGAAGAGGTGGAGTTGTGTATGTCTACAAAGGTTTGAGGAAGGTGCTAAAAGGAGTAAAGCGAGGGACCTTGTATGCATTGCAAGGGTGTGTATTGTAAGGTTCTACTATAGTTGCATCATCGCAGGTTCATCCAGAAGATATGTCCACTCTATGGCACGGTAGATTGGGTCATATGAGTGAATGAGTGATGCAAGTTTTGTCGAAGAGGGATCTTCTTTGCGAGCACAAGGTGCATAATTTGGAATTTTGTGACTAGCATTGTGTTTGGGAAATTACATCGCAGTAAATTTCCTAAGAAGGGTATCCACTAAATAAAAGGGATACTAAATTACCTCCACTCCGACTGTTGGGGTCCTTCACGAGTTGAATCCATTGGAGGCAGCAGGTATTTTTCTGTCTATTATTGATGATTACTTAATGTTTACTTGGATTTTCATGATGAAACAGAAAAGTGAAGCCTCACGAAGTTCAAGCAGTAGAAGACTTTGGTGGAGAATCAAACTGGAAAGAAGATCAAGAGACTTTGAACGGACAATGGTCTGGAGCTATGGAGTTCTGCAGTTTTGAGTTTAATGAATTCTGCAAGGATGAAGGGACTACCCGTCATCGGACCATTAGAGACACACCACAACAAAATGGCGTTGCAGAAAGGATGTACCAGACATTGTTGGAGAGAGCAAGGTGAATGCTCTCTAATGCAGGACTGGAGAGGAGGTTTTGGGCAAAAGTAGTAAACATGGTGTGCTACCTCATCAACCGTGGACCTCACGCAGGTATCAAGTGCAAATCTCCTTATGATGTGTGGTATGGTAAGCTTGCTAACTACTTTTTATTGAAAGTTTTTGGTTATCCTGTTTACTATCATGTGGGTGTGGGTAAACTAAATCCAAGATAAAAGAAGGGTGATTTGTGGGTTTTGGAGATGGAGTTAAGCGATTTCGAGTCTGGTCACCTTCTGAGCATAGAGTTATACTTAGCATGAATGTGATATTTGATGATAAATCTATGTTTAACCCCATGTTGATGGTTACTGGTCTTGGAGATAGCAAAAATGTTGATAAACAGGCGGAGCTGCAAACTCTCAAAGAGAGTGAGTTGAGAACTAAGGTGGAGAAGATCAACATAGGGATGTTTCTAATGAGTCAAAAACTTCAGAGTCTAGTGCACGAGCTCAACAAGTATAGCTTCCGGTAGACCGAAGAGAGCAACTGCACGAGTACCTCCACAGAGGTATGACTTCGAGGACATGGTGGCGTATGCTTTTCAGGTAGCTAAAGAGGTGGATATGGGTGAACCACAGTCCTACATATAAGTAGTTTTGTGTGGCAAAGCCGCTCAGTGGCTTGCTGCAATGGGAGACGAGATGGAATCCCATGACAGGAATTAGACTTGGGAGTTGGTCAAACGTCCACAGGGAAGGAAGATTGTTACAAACAAGTGAATCTACAAGAAGAAGGAAAGAATTACTTCTGAAGAGGGCATTAAATTTAGATCTCGGGTAGTTGCAAGAGGCTTCTCATAGAGGAAACGAGTTGACTACAATGAGATTTTCTCACAAGTGGTCACACATACTTTGATCGGGGTGCTACTAGCAATAGTGGCACATTATGACTTAGAGCTCGAGCAGCTAGACGTGAAGACAGTTTTTATACATGGAGAGTTGGAGGAAGAAATTTACTTGACTCGACCAGAGGGATTCTATATTTTAGGAAAAGAATACTATGTTTGTAGCTGAAGAATTCCTTGTATGGACTTAAGAAATCTCCATGGTAGTGGTAAAAGAGGTTTGACAGTTACATGCTTGAGCTGAGCTATAACATAAATCCCTATGATTATTGTGTATACCACAGCAAGGCAGCAAGTGGTGATATATTTGGTTTTGTATGTGGATGATATGCTCATAGTTGCGAAGTCGAAGTCTAATATCCATAAGTTAAAGGGGCTTCTCAGTGTTGATTTTGAGATGAAGGATTTGGGAGTTGCTCATAAGATTTTGGGTATAGAAATTTACAGGGATAAAGAGAAGAAGAAGATCTTCTTGTCACAGAAGAGCTACATCCAGAAAATACTATCCAGGTTTGGCATGTCTTCACCAAAGCCCTTGAATACTCTGAAACAACCTGATCCTTTTTGAAAACCAAACCATAACTCAAACCACAAACCGGTTGCTCTGGAGCAACCCAAAATAAGTTTACAAGTCAAAACCGAAAATCAAACGACAATGTTAAGATTCTCAAGTGAAATGCCCTAAACACTTGGGCAACCTCAATCCAAAGCAACAAAACATAAAACACAATCTTTGAGTTTCCCAGTATACTCATTAAGACATGAGGTAAGACAAGAATATTAAATGGTTTTATCTCGTTACCCAGATCCTACTGGCATCTTCAAGATTGTCGCGACTGCTCTCCTCGAGTAACCTCCTCTTAATGGATGCGTTCTCTTCCCCTGTCTGCACCTTGTGAGTGAGAAGGGGCCAGTCTCGTTGTTACTTCCTAAGGCCTTCGCCCTAGGCAAACTCCCTACTAAACACGTTATTAGAGTTTCCTTCCTAGCACGAAAGTCGTTCTCTCTTTCTGCTCTTAAGTAACCATTCCTTACTAGCTTATAGAAGTCATCTACTTCTATCCTGAACTCATAGGAGTTCTCTATTCCTATCCTTAACTCATACACCAACACTAGGGACCATCGCGTTACGTACCGTCGTCCGGTGTTCCTACCCTAGTATGCCAACCACATTTCGTCTCGCCGTCCGGTTGCATACCCAGCTTGACAATAGCATTGCGCTACGTCTCCTCGTCCAGTACATGCCTGGTTAACTACTGTGTTACGTCTCGCCTTCCAGTAGTGACCCCACATACTAGATCAACAGCTGCATTACGTCTCGCCGTCCAGCAGTGATCCAACCATCTACTACGTCCGGGGGTTCAATCTTGTAACACCCCACCCAGAATCTCTATGGTTGAGCCCATGGTTCAACCGCGCAGCCAAATCCTTGGTGTTACTGGTTGAACTCAATCATCTCAAACATCATCTCTGATTATTAAACACAAACATAAACCGTTATCATACAAACTCGTTATTCGATCCCCAACCCACTTATTGAATTTTACAAAATGTGGGTTATTATTGAAAACACTCAAAGAAGAAATCCTAGGTGACCATGGCAGAACAGTGTTCCAAACTACCTCATGATGGTAGTACAGAAGGATAGGGCAGCCTCAGTAGTCCGATCCTGGTTGCACCTGCGAGCCTGAAAACATACGTGGGTCAGCAACTAAGCTGTGTGTGTGGATCTTTCCCACGACCTAATTTTGGGACCGCAATCAGCTAATCAAACAATCGTAATCAATC